CTAAGCTTATTAACTCGGGCTAAAAGATAACATTTTTTAAAAAATTGGCTAAGTAAGCTAGCATGTACTACTGAAGTCTAAGACTACAGGCTAAACCCCCGTCTTAAAAGTATGATTACTGAGACAAAAATATGCATTCTAATAACATTGTTCTAGATATGTATCAGGAGATTAAAATTGCTGAAATTTTATGCTAATTTTATTTACAGTACTATGCGAACGTCGGGGTCTTTCAACCGACGAGATTTTTATCACTTAATTCTTCTATCATTTAGATCTAGCTAGAGTTGACTCGCAAATGAAGCTTGTTAACAGACCGCATCACAAAAGAATTCGTTAAAAAATTTATTCAAATGATTCATGGTGACCGAGCGGTTAGTATGTTAACTCGATTTTACTTTATAAGATCAAGCGTCAGATTACTTTGAAACATATGAGTAACGATGGATCCGATGATTAAAACACATATCTGTCATAATTTGATTATTCACAATGTTATAGGAGGTGGGGGACACGACAAGTTATGTGGGGTGGGATTGGGTTACCAGGGGAGAGGGGGGGGGGGACATGACACGTATGTGGGCTGAGAGTGGGTTGCCCGGGGGGGGGGGGCGATTCGTGACTGGGGATGGGATTGGGTTATCCAATTGTACCAGAGTCTAATTATCAAGAAATTAACTAACCAGTAGTAAGTTAAACGCGTTGAAAGGACAATTTCGTCGTTAATTCTAGACGGTGTGTGTATAAGTATCGAAACAAAATTACAATTTGTTTACATTTAAATTACAATTTGTTTTTTCTGAATAAGCTTATCTGTAAAAAAATAAAATTGAAACAAATTGAAATAGGTACCGTTGCTGTATGTAGTTTGAATCGCTCGTTACGATACAAGACAATCGCCGCGTATGTGTGACGAGTTTCAGTTTGTAAATTATAACTCTCACATTACACAGCGACAGTAGGGAACGTCTTTAGCTGACGTCAAGCACCTATAAAGAAGATAAGGAGAAGGAGGTCGTGTTGACATTTCTGACCGAAATCGAGGGAGGACATTTTTTATACGACCCACTCTCCCCTTAATTTCTGGCAAGATAGACACACACACACACGCGCACACACATAAAGTGATGGCTATTCCGCCAAAGGAAGGAAGTTGTAAAAACAACATTTACAATAGTGAACAGACTCACACGCATTAGATATAAAACAATGAGATAACCAATTTTACTATTGAAGGAAAATTGAAAAACCAAACACATTCGTATAACAAATGAGTATAAGAAAAAATACAAGTTAGGAAAACAACTAGTTCACATACTAAGTTCAAAACACACACATATAAGATACAACACAAGAAGAAAAAACATTTCCCCTAATGAAGGAAGTTTAAATAACCCGACCCTCACATAAGGTACAACACTAGAAAACCAGCAGTTCCCCTTCAGAAAGACAGAGCCCCAATGTTGACAGAGCAGGACCAAATTCTTGGAACGAAATCACAGCGAACGCAAACAACGCTAGGCACGCCGAGCGTAACCTTGATGTCCCCCGTAGATAACCCGCTACTATCTGGCCAGCATGTGATCTTGTCCTTGTACTGGGTTGCCATATTGGCACAACGTAGGCCACGAGCCAGAAAATGTCAGGATTGGCGACAGGTTTGGTTAGGCCTGTCTTTTCTAGTGTCGTTCAATTAAATTCACCGACTCTAAATTAAGAAAATAATCTAATGTCTTTGTACAAAGAATGTTCTGGAAACGTTTGCTTTGATGGCTAATTATGTCTTTAATTACCCAACAGAAAATACGCCTTCGTTTTATAAACATTTTAATTCACGCTTTAAATTTTGTAACATGTTCTTTGGGCCTATTTGGTTCTGTGATGTTATTTTGTGGTTCTCTTCTTTACATTTTTGTGAGATTTTGTGTACGGCTAACATAGACTTTCAAGGCCTGTCTTTTCTAGAGTCGTTCAATTAAATTCACCGACTCTAAATTAAGAAAATAATCTAATGTCTTTGTACAAAGAATGTTCTGGAAACGTTTGCTTTGATGGCTAATTATGTCTTTAATTACCCAACAGAAAATACGCCTTCGTTTTATAAACATTTTAATTCACGCTTTAAATTTTGTAACATGTTCTTTGGGCCTATTTGGTTCTGTGATGTTATTTTGTGGTTCTCTTCTTTACATTTTTGTGAGATTTTGTGTACGGCTAACATAGACTTTCAAGGCCTGTCTTTTCTAGTGTCGTTCAATTAAATTCACCGACTCTAAATTAAGAAAATAATCTAATGTCTTTGTACAAAGAATGTTCTGGAAACGTTTGCTTTGATGGCTAATTATGTCTTTAATTACCCAACAGAAAATACGCCTTCGTTTTATAAACATTTTAATTCACGCTTTAAATTTTGTAACATGTTCTTTGGGCCTATTTGGTTCTGTGATGTTATTTTGTGGTTCTCTTCTTTACATTTTTGTGAGATTTTGTGTACGGCTAACATAGACTTTCAAGGAAGTGTATCACTACTGCTTTATTTTCAGAACATCCGAACGGCACTTAGTTAACTGCTTTGTGTCCTAAAAATTCCTACATAAAACTCACTTTCGTTTTCTCCTTACATCAGACTTACTACAGGGAATACAACACTCTTCAAAGCAAGTTAACTATCGGCAGTACAACCAACTTCACACAGTCAACTAGCTGGAGTATACTTTGTTCTAACAGAAGCTACTAGTAGAACAACTAAGTCCGCGTAGCAGACGAACTATTGGCAATACAACCCACACAGCATACTAGCTACCAGTAGTAGAACACACTCCCTACAGCAGACTAGCTACCTAGAGTACAACTCTCACAACATACTAGCTGCCAGGAGTAGAACCCACTTCATACAGCAGACTAGCTACCTAGAGAACAACTAACTCCACACAGCAAACTTGCTACCGGGAGTACATCTTTCTCCGAATAGCAGACTAACTACCGGTTAGCCTGCGTGTAACTCACGCTCGCCATCTCCCCATGGCAAACTGCCGAGCATACACAACTCACTCCACACAGAAGACTAACTAATGGGCGTCTAACATACAATCGGGGGCGGCCAAATTTCAACTCACTTTTGCCATCTCCCTGTAGCATACAAACTACCCGCCGTACAACCGCCTCTCTACATCGTACCGTTTACCGAGCGCCATACCCTCAAGCTCGCTGAAGAAAATTACAGCGCGCAATGTTGTACAATAGCGACCGCGGGCCAATTACCACCCCCTCCCCCGACTAATTGTCTCCTAATTACACCCGGCTCACGCCCACAAGTCTGAGACCCCCGGGCCAGAGTTTCACTTTCCCCTTTCCCCCACCCACCCAGGTGTGGGAGCGACGTTATGAGAACAAAATCCCGCGACCCATCACATTCATCCATCCCCATTATACAGAATCTCTTCATACATTTTTTATATCACCAATACGAGGCTAGAAAAAATGTTTATTTCATTAATTTCAACTAAGAAAGAAAATAGTTGAAGCGTCAGACTGAATACTAAACTTTCGTTTTTTCTATTACAGTTGGCAGGACACTACAGTATAATATCAAGTTTCATTTTAAAAAATATATCGATGAAGCTGTTAGGTTTATATTTTTTTGGGTTAGTGACAGACAGGCTTACGTTCGGATAAAAGGTTTGGTTTAGAGTCAGGGTTAGTTTTAGACTATCGTTATAAGCGAAACTAACTTCCTAGTCTCTAAGTAGAACCGAGTAGTGCGAGCTATTCACGCGTTGCTGTCAAGATGCAATTATTATTGTTTTAGTTTTGTTGTAAATATTTCTTTTTTTTCCTTTCTCGATTAAAAAACAACGTAGCCTACACAGTTGTCTCAAAATGTAGAACACACAAAACTGTTTTTAAATACATGTGCGCTTTTAAAATGAAGACTCGTTAATTAGCAGCTTTTGCCCCCCCCCCCCCCCCCAAAAAAAAAACAACCTTTTTTTTTCCAGTTTTTTAAGCATTATACGATACATCTAGGCATATTTACATATAATATCCACGTCATCCCCTAAATTTATCAACCCTTTCCCATTTTTCTCTCTCTCTCTCTCTCTCAACTACAACCCCCCTCAAAATTGCAGTTGAATTTTTCTTAAAACATGTATATTTTTTCCAAAATCTTGTCTGAACTCTGTCAACATAGAGTATTTTAATCAATTGCTAATTTTTAAGCGAAATAACGTCTGAAAGTCGTTTTCTAATATTTCTTTTTTATAATGCAAAATTGTGACGTCACACCATCTGAACCCCCTCCCCCTCATCCAACACCGTCACAAAATTACGGAAACTCCCCTCCTTCTACGAGTGTGACGTCATTTATGGACGACCCCTATCCTGTCGGTACGCTCAAATGACTTGTCCGCCCTCTCCACAACAGAAACAATGGCAACTCTACCCAGCAACAAATGATTCTTGGTGAAACTAATATCTTTTTACTACATACGTTTCATTTTACTAAATAGAAACAACTGTATTAATAGACGTAAATTGCGAAATAAAATGTTCAAGAAATTCGCAAAATAAAAAAGATTGAATTGATAAAGCTTGTTTTTGTTGATTTTAGACAATTCGTTTAGGCTTACTCATGTTACAAGTATGATCCAGGACTTAGCCTAGATATTTACATTTTATTGTTTTTTATAAATCACGATTGGTCGCAAATACCAGGAGGCGGGGTTATCTTCAGATCAATAAACAAAAGCGACACGGTCCATTTCCTCTCCCCAGAGGGGGAAATTACTCTCCGTATATTTCCCTAAGAAATTAAGCTCTCCTTCTTTCACCTGTAAAGTCTAGTGATGCGCGGATTCCCCGTCCCCCCACCAACTCGTGGGTCGCGAGGTATCCTAAGCATGTGTCGCACCGTTCGCGTGTCGTGGGGCCGCAGCAAGCGGGCCAACGTACAATAGGGTTCATCGTGGGCAGACGTAGCTCCACGGGCCTCCACATTTAGCGGGCTTAGGTACGGCAGGTCGCGCTAGTCTGGCTGGTCGTCTGCTGAGTGAACAAGTCAGTGATAGATGGGAACTTGGTTTGTTTTCATTGGATTTTAATTTTAATTAGAAAATATGCGGCGGATATCGGAGTAACAGGGTGTGGTTATACATCGTTTGCAAGTTGATGTGAGTATATTTTCTATCCATCTGTTTGAAAATTTTGATTTTTACAAGATTTGAGATGAATGTAGACGCATTCAACAGGATCCATCAATGGGTTTTTCGTCTCTATTTTTACACTTCCTTTTTTCGTTAATTAAGTCATAACTTTAAGATTTAAGAAAGTTAACTATAGACTGTAGATCTATATGGTTTAAATTATTTTTTTTAAATTCGTTTTTCAAACAAATTTTTAAAACGACAGAGCTAGTCCCAGCAGTCGAAATTTTTCAGTATTTTTATGCTTTTTTTTATCAGCCTCTTTTCAACATTTATTATTATTATTTATCTTGGATAATACAGTTTTTTAACTGTGTAAGTAAAAAGAAAGGTTTAAAAAAAGACTAAATCAAATATACTTACAGTAGGTTATTTTCACAACTTTATGCAGTTCCTTTAGCCAAAAAAAAAAACAAGCTTTGGAAAATCGGAATACACGTATCTAGATCTAGATCTAGTGAGCAAAACATTGCCGTAGTCCAACGCTTTATAATACACATAACTAGTTAGCAAACATTACCGTAGTCCAACGCTTTATAAACACATATCTCGTTAGCAAACATTGCTGTAAGTCTACGTTTTACAATACACATTAGCAAACATGTCTGTAGTTCTACAATTTACAATACACATACAATACACATAACTAGTGAGCAAACATTGCTGTAGTTCTTCTTTCAAGAAAGTCTTCCAATCTAGTACTTCGATTAAAGGGTTTCTCTTAGAACTCTTGCCCAGCACGGTTCCATTCAGCCGTCTCCCAACTTGTTGACGTCATTGTTCCAGACTCTCCGATGACCATTGGGAGACGTCAGGACAGACACGAAGTCTTATGACGGCTGGTGTTAAGTGTTCTGGTTTAAATGTTTCTCGGGTTTGGTTTCAGTAGCAAGTGGAAGGAGGTCTTAAGGCAGCCGTGTTTGGGTTGATGTAGAATTTGTCTTAAGACAGCCGTGTTTGGGTTGATGTAGAATTTATGTCTTAAGACAGCTGTGTTTGGGTTGATGTAGAATTTATGTCTTAAAACAGCTGTGTTTGGGTTGATGTAGAATATATGTCTTAAGACAGAAGTGTTTGGGTTGATGTAGAATTTATGTCTTAAGACAGCTGTGTTTGGGTTGATGTAGAATTTGTCTTATGGCAGTGATGTTTGGGTTGATGTAGAACTTATGTCTTAAGACAGCTGTGTTTGGGTTTATGTAGAATTTATGTCTTAAGACAGGTATTTGGTTTGATGTAAAATTAATGTCTTAAGACACAGGTGTTTGAGTTGATGTAGAATTTATCAGGTTTGTTGTTACTTAAAATCGACCAACCGTAAACGGTTGAGTTGGCCTACTGTTGATTAAACGTACCCAGCCTATGAGCTAAGCCTACATCTCTACTTGTGGCTTGATTATGGGCAAATTTACATACACATTACGTTGCGATACTAAGCTTACAATGAAGCCAATTATAAACTGAACTCGCCAGGGTCGATATAGTGTTTTGTTTTTCTTCGATATTAATATACTTTTTTTTCTTCTTCTCTTTTCTAACTTTTACTGTTGAACGGGGTTGCCACCATCTTTGAAATAATTCGTATGCTGATTTATAAAAAAAATTCGTATTACAGTGTTGTTTAGCTACAAAGTGTAAACAATTGACCACACGATGTTGAAATTAAGACCCTGTGTTGTGGTGGTGCAATTAAATGAAACACAGGAGCTGTTTAAAGTTTATCTGCGGATTTTAAAGTTGATGTTCTGATAAATGATAGGCAGACACCCTAAAGTGCTACAGGTTATTTATTAGCTACAAACCGCTTTCTAAAAATAAAATACAAGGAAAACGTTTTGACCTCTGGCAGAGATCTAATTAATTAAGCTCTCGTCTGAAACTTGTGACGTCATCACGGAAGAAAACGTTGTAATTTTTCCTCCTACCTCTTGACAAGAACTTCTTGTAGAGTCATTGAGGCGTGACTGCTTTAACATCTATACCACCCCAACACCCCACCTATTTATCCCAGAGGCGTAGCGACCCGGGGACAAACTTTTCGATTGGCACCCCTCCGCCCCTCAACCTTTCGATTTGCACCCCCCCCCCCCCGCCCTCGATATTTCCATTTGCATCCCCCCCCCTCAAACTTTCGATTTGCACCCCCCCCCAACCTTTCCATTTATTTTTCCAACCCATTTTGGCGCCCCCTAAGGTCGGCGCCCGGTTACATGTGTCGTCCCCCCCCCCCGCCCCCCCCCCCTCGCTACGCTACTGATTTATCCCCTTGTACCGAAGCCCCATACGATTAAAATTCAATTTTTTTTTAGGATAACAGAATAGTTATTTGGTTGCCTCATTTAAAATTTGTATTTTTAATTTAAATTTAGATACTATGCTTATTGGGTTCCTTGCAGTACTTAAGTTAAATGTTAGGCTATATGCTCCATGTAGTGCCCATTACACTATGATGAGATACTGAAGTAACCACTAGACTTATCTGTTTGGTGCCCATCAGGAGCAAGGGCTACAGTTACTCCTCTCCACCCGACTCTGCTCCTGTTGGCTGCTCTCTTTAGTTGATCCCACGTTATCCCAGCATCCCTTGCTTCTTCTTCCAAGTGACCATCATGACCATGAATTAATACGGCCTTGGGGAACCCATTACGTTCATATAACAGCCACGCAGAGTCCAACGTATGAGTTAAGACATGACAGTATGCAGTGGTGTTGCACCGTTCATATCTGTCGGTTCTTTTTATATGTAAGAGGGGAGGTGGCTACATTTAACCATCCATAATTTATGGCTACGCCTTTGACTAAGATGTTCAGCGGCGTGACTGTTCTCTATGTAGGCCTATTCCTAAGTGAAAGTTGATGTTTTCCTTATTCACGGCGAACTTTCGCCAACAAGAAGCCACTCTCTCTCTCTCGTGAAGTAATGCACTCTACGATCCTCGACCTAAACCTGCATGTCCTCTCTATAATTGATATAATCGCTGTCTTCTCGTGTCTATGGAAGTCACTCACTCGTGCATGTGCGGCAGCTCGCGTGCATGCCGATCGATAGGCGAGTGAGTGCACGCTGCAAGCAGTACTCAGCCTTGAGGTTGTGTGGTCTTTAATTAGTGGTTTGTTTTTATATGCTATTTTTAGAAGTGATTGTAGAAGACAGTATGGATTCTCAAAATAAAGGCGAAGTTTGAAATATCCGATAGGATTTAAATTAATAGTTTTTATTGTTTTTATATTCCTGATATGTTATAGAAAGGTAGTCGGGTTCTTAAAATACACATTTCTAAGATGAACATTGAAATATCCGAATGATGAATTACTTTAGTTTATAGTATTGGTTTTTTTTTGTAGTCGATTTAAATCTTTATTTAAAACTAATCTTCCAACATCTCACTAAATTTAAGCCTTAGGACTCCAACCCCCACCCTACCATATCTAATCCCTACCCCACACGATCGATCCTTAAATCCCATATTTCTATTCTGGACACAGATCAATCTACACCACCCCATGTGATCCCAAATCCCATCCCATGTTATCCCACAAGGATACAATCCCGTCCCGTTTACTCCCCCCCCCCCCCCCCACACACACACACTCGACATCAACTTCAACCCCACCCCAATCGATTTATGACAGCCCTGCAACAAAATGTCAAGTATTTTCGTTCATAGTTTAAGTACCTCGCACATTCCCCCATCGCATTTTACCACACTATCTCTCTAACAACATAAAGCATCGAACGATTGGCTGGCCGTTTGTTTATTATTCTATTTCTAGCAGTCGAGTCACGTGATTGCGCGTGGAGGTGAATACTAAGACGGTCATAAATTATGGGATGTTTAGGTGTAGAGCAATAAAGTTAATCCCGAGTTAGGTGAATCAGAATCAGAGATTTACTAAGTAAGGTGAATCAGAATTAGAGGTTTACAAAGTAAGGTGAATCAGAATCAGAGGTTTACCAAGTAAGGTGAATCAGAATCAGAGGTTTACTAAGTAAGGTGAATCAGAATCAGAGGTTTACCAAGTAAGGTGAATTAGAATCAGAGGTTCACCAAGTAAGGTGAATCAGGGTGAGAAGTTTACCAAGTGAGGTGAAATCAGATTGAGGCTGATGTAGATGACTTTATTTGGTAGAGGAGGCGTTCGTCCGTCTGCATATTGTCGATATTCTGTCTGTGACGATGTTTGAAATGTACTCGTTTGTCTATTTATTCGTTCATCCGTGTGTTCATCCACTTGTTTTTTATTCATATTCACGCTCACTCACACAAAACCACGTACACACACACACACACACACACACATATATATATATATATATATATATATATATATATATATATATATATATATATATATATATATATATATATATATATATATAGTTGGATTTATGAAGTTTTGATGTTTACATAATGTCTGTATATACACGCCCTCCTCGGTCTGTCTAGGCCCTATTTTGTTTACCCATATCTAGATCTCCCCAGTCGAACCTCTATGAACGCATCACTTAATCCCCATATTTTCCTCAACATCACATCGCCCCGCCCTTCCGTTTGTTCTACCCCGTCCCTATCTATCCCCGTCCCTATCTGTCCCGTCCCTATCTCTCCCCCCCCTCCCTGTTTATTTATTCTCCCCCATCCTCTCCTATTCACTTTCCCCCTTCCTCTTATCATCGCTGCGACAACCTCTCGAACACAAACTCTTGTATAGACAATTTGTCTCCGTCATACTTTAGTCACCAGCCAGCAAAGATTATTTCCCCTTTTCGCTGAAGATTTCGGCTTTAAAAAAAAATAATCAGGAAACACGCTTGGCGATAATTGCGCGTTGCCATGGTAACAGAAAACGCATAAAGAACTCTTCATCAGAATTACCATATTTTTTCCCCTTGTTCGTCCTCTGGAAGACGTGCTAAGAAAATCTGAATGGCTGGGCGTAATTAACATAGAGCCGTAATTAACTCGAAGTTGATTCGATGAGTTTTGTTAAAGGTGTTGATGAAGAGGTAATTAGTTGATTACGGATTTGTGTGTTTGATTGCTTGAATAAACTAGATGGAAAGTGTAAAGTTGATGTCGAGAATTCAACGCTTCTTTGACACGCATACATTTTGAAAAATGGTGTGACGTAATGAACGATGGGGAAAGTATTGAAGATACGCCTGCGCAAACATGGGATATGGGATGTCAGACTAGTTATCTGTTTAAAGTTTACTTTAGAGAAAGTGTGGGGGGAAATTCTAAAGCTAAAGTTTACTTTAAATATTTTCTTGTATAGAGTGTTAAACAAATATTATCTCCCGATAAGAAGATGGTGCTAAGTTCGTGGACTGTTCGTGATGGATAAATAGGGTATGTTTTCAGTCGATGGATGCTTTATGTTGTGCTTTGGTAAAAATAGCAATGGATAAATAGGGTGTTTCAGTCGATGGATGCATTATGTGATGCTTTGGTAAAAATAGCAAGGGTAGTTTTTGCATGTGGGAGGCGTGTGGGGGTGGGAGGGTGAGTCCTGCACGTCCCCCGAGGGGTGAGGCGCTTAGGCCACTGCCTGTGACTTCTTGCAGAAAAAAAAGACAAAGCGATGCTGGGTGCTGGTTGGCTTCCAGATTCGTCAGCCGGTGGGGGGGGGGGGGGGGTGTAAAGGAGGTCAAGGGCACTCCCATGCAATCCAGCCACTCGTTTGTTGTTTTAATTCAAGAAATTAGGCCGTCTCTAATAATAGCACATTGTTACTTTGTTATAAAATATGTTGCTATTAAGTGACTGTTGCGAAAGTTTGTAATTTTTTTTTTCAAAGGCAGCTCAAAAAGTACATTTCATTTAGTTCAAATATATTTTGGTATAATTTAAAAAAAAATAAACATGTTTTTATGTATATATTTTTGCTATTACATTATGTATTTTTTAAATAAAATTCTATTGTGTTAACCCCGAAATCAAGAAACAAGATTTTTTTGTCAAGGTAAATGTCAAGGATAAAGTTAGGGTTCGTTTTGAGCTAGGTGTTGTTACTGACTCGTTTTTACACAAAATCGCGATAATTATTTATCTATTTTAGACTAGATCTACATAGAATGTGATAATTGCGAATTACCATTAAAACACACACACAAACAAACACAAACTTCAGTAAGCAAAACAGACGAATACACACACAGACACATACACACACAGACACACACAGAGACACACACAGACACACACATACACACACAGACACACATACACCTTGCTACGGTCATTTAGCCTAGAGCCGATCCCCGGACTGAGCGGCTTGCGATCTTAACGCCCCCTGCGGGCGTCCAGTTGAGCCGCACTTATCACAGCCAAGCAAACATCCAAGGGCTGTCAACTCTGTCAGATTCTTCAGCAGACGTATCCGGCCGGTCGCTTCTTGACGCTTATCGCCCTTTTTGTCGGGGGTGACAGGAAAAATAGCCCGCGCCACACCGAGGCTTGTTGTTTGTCCAATGTCCATTGGCTGGACAAGCGAATGTGTCAGGGATTAAGTCCACTGGATAAACATGTATCCATTGGATACACTTGCCTGGCCCTGCAGAGTTTAGAAATATAAGAGTTAACTTTAGCCACCTCTATTGACTTCCATAATTTTAGATTTATTAAGTTTTTTTTTTAAAACGCGTAGGGATATTTTTGGTACTATTTTATAGAAACCCTAACCTAGCCGTAACGCTAGCACTAATTGTAAAATTTATTTTAACCTAAATCCCTAGATTCACCATAATTCCTAATTCTTACACAATTTCTAAACCTATCTTCACCTTAATGGCGAGTTAAACACAATCATTCGAGGGGTATTTTTCTTTTACTTTAGAAAACGAAATAGCTTGTTACAGATTACATAAAAAGGCAGTAGCAATTAAAAAAAACCTCTTACAACGATGTTATTTATATCCTTCATTAGTGTAATCAACAATTAGTTATTGTCATTTTGTGGGACACACCTGCCCGGGGGTAAAGGTCGGTCCCAGCCCGTGAGACATCTTCCCGGGGACACACCCTCTGGCTGGCTCCAGGTGGGGGCCCCACATTTGTGTGTGTGTGTGTGTGTGTGAGTGTGTGTGTGGCAGTTATTGTTATCTCATAGTTATCTTATGCTGCCATAGACGCCCCGCCCCTTACCTCTGAACACCTCCACTCACACAATCTCACACCCACACAATCTCACACCCACACAATCTCACACCCACAAAATCTCACACCCACACAATCTCACACCCACACAATCTCACACCCACACAATCTCATACTCTCCCCTCCCCTTTAACCAACGTAATAGCTGACTTTATTAAATTGAAGTATCCTTTCGAATCTGACGGTCTACCATGCAGGTGAAGTAGGAAATCACATAGAGTGACCTTGACATATGAAGGGATAATGTGCTTAGTACTATGCCTAGCCCCCTTACTACTTTACCTAAAGTGAGTCAGGTACCCATCAGAGCTGGATAGACGCAGGGACATTACACGGATACGAACTGGGATTCGAAATCGAGACTTTTGTGTTAACAGTCATGTGTTCTACCATCCTACCAACGAGGATAGTTCTAACAATAAAAATTATTCTAAATGCAACCCCTTTCTATCATCTTCTGACTTACAAATCATCTCTGTATGTTTCTTTTTTATTATCATTACCTCACGTAGCTGATTATCGGTGTCTTAATTAGCGTAATTATAACACAACGCCCAGATATTTAATTAACAAAACAGGACTATCAGGAACTAATTAAGTGTTCTTGTCATTTATCTACAGTAAACAATTATTGTTCTGTAACAAACCTATAAACATCTTTTTTTAAAAATGGCCAAAATAGTTTTATTAATTTAATTCAAGACTGTTTTATTTAAGAAGACGCTGGTGTCAATGCAGTGTTCCGAGCTTTATTTTTCTAGTTGATTCTATTTTGTGTATTCAGAATGCATTGAACGAATACCTGGCAAGCCCAAATCTGATTGGCTCAACACTGAACAGCTGACATTCGACGTTCTCAGTCCTGGTCAGTCAGTGACCATCGTGACAGTCACATTCTACCAACTGGCAGCACTGACTATCACGTCAAACAAATTCTATTACCTGGCCACGTCCAAATACCACGACAAACAAACTTACTCCGCGTATGTCTTCAATATGGAAATGCCCATCAGATGGAGGTATTATACAGTTATGGAAATACCCATTAGATTGGGGGATAATACACAGCGGTCATTCCATTGACCTATCAGTCATGTGTCATACGTCATGCCGGACACAACGCCGGACGCTGAAGTGGCTAATGGTTAAACGATGCGAAAACAGTTTGACTGACAGAGCCGAAAGTAGCCAAATTACCATCGGGTATTCCCGCGAATTTGTCAACATTGTGATCTTGTCTGTTAGGATCGTGGTACCATTTCTTTCTTTTACCCCCCCCCCCCCCTCCATCCCCTTCTCTTTCTTTTATTTCTCCTTCACTTTCTCTTTCTCTCCTAGGCTAAACTTTAAACAAAGACTTGAATCTTAAATCTGGCGATTTTTTTTTCTTTGAAAATTACTTGATGATGGGATGACAGTTGAGGAGTTTTACTGAGAAGAAAGGAGGCTGGCGTTAGAGAGCCAACGCTCCCGTTCTGCGATTGGCCCAGAAAATGCTTGCGGGAGGCTGGCGTCATACATCGTGACGAAACGGTGTGACCCGGTTACAATTAGGTCAGCTTCTCGCCTGACATTGATGCCGGGGGGTAGCCTGGAACAAAAGCCGAGGAAAACCAAAACAACCCGTCTTTCCACCCGCGGTAACCGTAATGTCCACAGGGCAAGGAGCCCGGCACCCCAACACACAATACGACACCAGGACTTTGTGTTTCTCACTTCCTCAACAACCTAGGTTCACCGTTGGATGATTTTCTGTGATGTGTTTGCTAATTATTGTTAATTTTTATTTCGTATTTTTGGGTAAGTTTGGTAACAAACAAATGTAATTTTATTTCACACGGTTTAAAATGAATACAAAGTCTTGTGTGTTTGGGTGATGCGAAAATAAATAGAATCTCATTTTCTGTTTTTGTAAGTGAATAATCACGTTTGTGTGTCTAGTATCCTACATCTCATGTGGTCGTTGCATACACTGTAAAACAAGAGGTCAGTATCACGTGGAATGTATCACGTGTTTCCCGGCTTTTTCGTGCGCAAAAGTCTTCAAGATATTCATCAAATGTCTTAAAGATCTAGACAATTAAAACAAATGGAATGGTTATTCAACTTCTTAATACGATTCTTGTTTGTTGAGTGTTGTTAAAATGATAGCTTGGGCACATACGTGTATTGTATGTGTGTAGGGGGGGGAGGGGAGGGGAGTAGTTATACGAGTGAACATACTCATATTCAGATTCCCAAACTTAAAGCTAGACAACGATTTATTATATCATAGACTAATAATAAGCAGAAATAGTAAAATTTTCTATAATTACTCTGACTTTAAAAAAAAAATGTTTGAGAGTACTTGATGTGACAATTAATGTCTTGTTATGCAATCTGTTTGACCATCTACATTTTTCTTTCTCTTCTATCAGGTTTCCACAGAAAGTGACATTAGAATCGGGAATCCCCACACGGCAATTACATCACACCACGGCGCGCAACCCTCCACCATTACACACTGCAAGGTCTAAATCTGCAGTCATTAACCTCTAGGTCAATCGCTAACGACTTGATTGCGCTCACAGTTATTATGAGCGTCACATATTGCTGGACCTAATTACTCACGACTTACTTTGTCTGATGTGGTTAGGTTTGATATTTACTGAATCATACAACGAAGCTGACACATTACATGTCCTATGTGAAGTTGTCTGAAATAGACAACCTGTTTTTTGTATTAAGATTATGGACAGTTAAGAGAAGTTTTAATTTCTGGTACTGAAACGCAGACTATAATTCTATAAGGTGAACAGTTGTTGGCATTTCAAGAAGGATCTAAAAACTCGGATTGTTGTGAGTGAGGTCGACAGTTTCAGCCATGGCTAGACAGGTTTGGATGCTGTTGGTTTCATTCCAGGTCCTGTCCATCGCCACTTGTCAACAGACAATGCTGACGTTTACACAGGAGGAAGAGCAACCGGCTGGTCAGTTTGTGGGCAGCGTGTCCGGCAGTCAGATTGTGACCCAGATGGTCGGCAAAGATGACCGGCCATCTCTCAGGTACAATATCCTGGGAGGAGACGACAACTTTGCCCTGGGGAACATCAATGGAAACCTAACATTCGCTAAACGAATAGACAGGGAGAAACTGTGCCCTATGGCGGTCGATTGTAAATACCCGTTGACTGTGACGGTCAGCGGACCTAACGGCTTCTTCCAAAGCTTGTCAGTACAAGTCATCATCACCGACATCAACGACAATGACCCGTACTTCAGCCCATCTGTCTTCAACCTCACCATCAACGAGGCGTCCCCACCTGGGTTTAGTTCCCCCCTCCTGTCTGCCAATGACGCGGATATGAGTGAGGCATACGGCGTGAAGACATACGGCCTAGAGCCCGAGTCTGAGGTGTTTAGGGTCGTGACCTCGACAAATCAAATCGGCACCGTCCGGGTGAGTTTAGTCCTGAGCCAGCCGCTGGATAGAGAAACACTGGACAGGTACCAGTTATACCTGGTTGCTAGGGACGGAGGGACCCCCAAGAGAAGCGGCACGTTGACGGTGAACATTATAGTGGGCGACGATAACGATAACTTTCCCGTGTTTTCTAGCGTCGTCTACACGGCCGTGTTCAACGAAACAGCCCAGGCCGGGTATGAGATCATCCGGGTCAAGGCCACGGACGCTGACCTTGGCGAGAACGGACGCGTCGTGTACAGCTTGAGTACCATCCAGCCCGGCAACCGCGTGGACATTAGAGACAAGATCGCGGTCAACCTGACAACCGGGTCTCTGACTTTAAAGAGCGCCCTGCCCAGCGGAGACTACCAGATCCACATCGACGCCCAGGACAACGGATCCCCGACAAAATCCAACCAGGCATTAGTCAACGTGACCGTCCTCGACACGGAAAACAGCCAACCCGTCGTCACGCTTAACCTGGTCCAGATCAATGACTACCCTAAAGGAACCGCCCCTGAGACGGCATCCGCTGTCGGCTCCGTCGTGGCGGTGGTCACCGTCGACGACTCCGACTCTGGAAAAAACGGCAACGTCTCCTGCGCCAGCGCGGAGCCGTCCTTCCAGCTACAACAGCTGAGCAGCTACTCCTACAAGCTGATGGTCGCTCGACCCCTTGACCGCGAGACCACCGCTGTACACAATGTGACCATCGTATGCCAGGACCAAGGCACCCCCAGCCTCAGCGCCTCCGCCTCTGTGCAAATCACCGTCATTGATATCAACGATAACCCACCAGTTTTCCCCCGCATGAACTACGATGCCCAGATTATCGAGAACAACATGCAAGGCGATACAGTACTCGTAGTCAACGCTCTTGACGCTGATGTAAATGAAAACTCTCATATAGAATATAGACTCATCAATGAAGGAGGAAACTTCACAATATCACCAACCAACGGCGTCATTAGGGCTAACCGTGTTTTCGACAGAGAAGAACAATCAAGATACGAATTCAAAGCCTTAGCCGTAGACAAAGGCACCCCTCCGCTCACCGGCGTAACGACAATCGTCATCACCATTTTAGACGTGAACGACAACGCCCCAAAGTTTTCCCAAGACAACTACAAGTTTCAGATCTACGAGAACAGAGAGAAGGATAGCATGGTGGGGAACCTGAGCGTGGTGGATCCAGACTTGGAGGAGGGCGGGGAAATCACGTTCACGGTCAGACCTGTCAGTTACCCAGACGATATCCCATTCTCCGTGACCAAAGACGGCAGGATTTTAACCTTGGACCGGTTCGACAGGGAAAGCAGAAGTGACTATAAGTTTATCGTCATCGCAACCGATAACGGTCAACCAAAGTTATCCTCATCCACGCAGGTGACTGTGGATATCCTGGATATGAATGACAACCGACCTTCTTTTATATTCCCCGGCCCTCAGAACTCCTCGGCTTATGTGAACATCCCTATCGAAGCCGATTCTACCTTGTTATCGTTGGAAGTAAGTGATCTAGATCAAGAAGATTCTCAAAACAGTTGGATCACTTACAGCATTGTTGCTTCCAACGCGTCGGATTTGTTTCGCATTGGTAAAATTGACGGCAGGTTAATCGCCAACAGAGCGATTCTTCTAGCGGATGTCGGAACGTATTCCATCACGATCAACGCGTCGGACCAAGGCAATCCGGTGATGTGGACGACGGGGACGGTGCTGGTGGTCGTCCAGACGGAACCCGTGGCCGCCAGCAGCAAGGTCCTGGCTGACCAGAACGTGCTGATCGTGGCATGTATCGTCTGCTTCACGGTCATCGTGTCCGGCGCCGTGCTGGTCGCCCTATGCGTCATGCGGCGTGTGGACCGGCAGAGGAAGATGCAGTACGGCAGTTCTTCTTGCTGCCCCAGCCGTCATCAAGACGGGGAGGGCCGGGACATGAATCGACAGTACGACCCAGCGGTAAGTCTTGTCTCAGTACAATTGGGTTTACCGTACCCTATGTGATTTCATTGTTTAGTATCTCTAGCTAACGCATCACATAATCATAACTCATATTTCTAACAACTCTCTTACTCTGAAACTGATCCTAACCCTAAACAGTACCCCTAACTTTCTCTTTTTTGTGTGTGCTGTAACTGTTTCATGTGACAGCTATATGTAAAATATAGCTAATTTAAGAGAGATGTTATGCGATTTATAGATTCTAGTGTGGCCCAGAATCACAATTACTTCATGCGCTAAACAACAACAACACACACTCACACAAACACACACATACATACATACATACACACATACACACTTACACACATACACACATACACACTTACACACTTACACACTTACACACATACACACATATACACACATATTAGGTTACAATCATCTTCTGTAGAAGTTTTCCTCTATTATTTAACGCCAACGCCCTCCATGTTAAAAGTTCTAAAATAGAAGAGAAAAAGACAGTTAAAGAAAACAAAAATGTTAGAAAACAGAACTAAAAAAATCTCCATTCATCACCACAGAGAAGCCTCGTGCGCATGTCCAAAAATAAAAATCGAAAAACGTTTCCGCTTCCGCATGTGGACTGATCCTCAATGCGCTTTTGCAATTAAGGATTGGACGTTGAAATTGGGAAAATCGATCGTCGAGCCTTTCTGCCGAAACGAGGTGGCCTCTAGCCTTATAATAAAAAAAAAAACGTGATGAAAATGCAAATGTTGGACTTAATATTCTTTGTTGGGTTATTAAACCACTTCTCGTTAGCCCAAACATGTATACTCGAGTGCTACATGTTGTATATCTTGCACTTAATGAATAAAACATTACATCAATCTGTATCCATATACCTAGTGTATAAATAGGTACTTAAGTTAAGACAATACCAGTCATTATGTGTATGTACAGTTATTATTTAAAGTTTCATATTTCGTTATAGTAGTTGTACTTAATCTTTTTAGAGGTAACGAACCCCATTTATATGCGCATCCACTGAGCCCTTCTAAATAGATCTATCGTCCGCATTGCTAAAAATGCGATCGTGAATCATATGAGTTGGGTGTGTCTCGACCTCCGCCGAACACCGTGAGACTGACTTACCTAACCGCTGGGGCTCGATGGAGCCAATGTTAAGAGTCACTGCTATCATTCGTGAAATTTTAATTTTACCCCTTTCCAGTTTTGATATGTTTTTCTATACATTTGTTTTACATTTAATACGATATTAACCATTTTCTTGTTCTTACTACTAAGAGCCGAATAATATGTACGGGTGTAAGCCAAAAGGAAATAAGTTAAAGTAGTAATAGTATGCGTTAGATCTAACTAGATCTATACGGTAAATGGAAACCTCTCTCTAAATAAAGGGCGATAACTGGGTACCCAAGCGACACGTCTTCCCTAAATGTGTGTACAAAAGTGACAAGTGCTCGCTTGACAATGGGCAGGACGGCGACAGATTAGCCCCGACATGTTAGCTTTCAGTTGTAGACAAAACGTCACCCCCCCCCCCCCCCCCCCCCCCGTCGTGTCAGGTCGAGGAATCTCGACCCGACCGTTGGTGTTGTCCAGCGACCGTTGACCAATTGTGTACCTTACCCCCAGCGACCGAGGAAAGAATTAAAAAAAAAATTGTCAGGGTTCTCACAGCTAGGTACACGGTTTAGTCTGCAAACAAACTCCAAACGGTTTACAAACTCGATCGGTTTACGAACTCTATCGGTTTACAAGGGGCGGGGGAATAAAATACCCCCGCGGGGAACTGACAGGGACAAACATGCCGGACACTTAGATCCGCACTTAGCCGGCGTTTACTTCCCCTGGTTGCCCGCTTACCTCCCCTGGCGGGTCGATAACTTCCCCTGACTGGCCCCCTCTTAACGTTCAAACTCACGACCCCTTCAACGACTTGCCACGGGGAAGGGCTTTTTAAATGTCAAGGCAACCTGGCCAGTTGAGTACGCTAAATTATGCTAATGAGGGGTTTGGTTTAATAAAGAGTGAGGGGGGGGGGTTAAGTTGAAGCAAACTTCCTTGAAAGGCTTGGCCATTCTTTTTTTCTCAATCTGCTTGAGACAACAGCCATAGTAATAAGGAACTTACGAATAAATCGATGCTTTAAATAAAAAAAAATAATTCAGACTACCAATCTATAATTGACTTTAAATAATGCGACATCAGGTCTGTTTGCTACCATTTAAAACAAATAAACGTTCAGAACAAATGATTAATGTAAAAATCTGAAACGCTGAAACATATTTCATTTATTACATGGCGTTGATGAGTAAGATCAGTATAAACTTTATTGTATGACAACAAAGCATACACCTTATGTACAGTTGGGAAGCATTTCAATCTAACTGTGCATATACTGTATGTATAGATGCGACACGTATTAAGAAACGTAACGTAGACAGATAAGGATTGTGACACATCTAGTCGTGTGTTGGGACGTGGCATGTGTCTAGAGATAATGTTGACAATAGAATCCTGTATCTGCTGTTATAAGGTACCACATACAGTCTTGTAACACACATATATTTGAAAAGTCGGGATACGACGGCCGTTCAATGTTTTAAAAAAAAAACGTCAAAATGTCACTAACAGATATTCATGTTATCACAATAAATGTATACTATCATAACACACATTCATATCGCCATACCACATATGCATACTACCACAATACATATTCAAATTACTACATAACATATTTATACTACCACAATGCACATTCATATAACCACACACCACACACACATTTCACAATACAACACATTCACGTTATCGCTAATTCATAAGTCAATCTTTACTTCAAACTACTATCATCTAAATAGCACCTCTCAATAAACAAAGAAATATAGACTATGTGACAATGAAATCTCAACTTCTAAAATTTCCTTGACAAAAAAAGCCACACCCCTTAACCATTATAAGCCCTAATGTAGCAACGAACAACCACATCACAACCCCAAAAATGTAACATCACACAACCATAAAAATACCACCAACGACCACATAGAATACAACCACATCCGCTCTAAAAAGTGACCACACGCTTAAGTTGAACCAAGTACGACCCAGGCACCCCCCCCCCCCCCCCCCCAAACACACATCCCGTTAAGCGCTGAATTAATCCCCTTTAATCCCTCCCACCATCTATAAATATCTCAGATTCAAACCCCCATCGACGCGCGTTTGCCCTCAGTGACTGTTTATCCCCCCCCCCTGCACCACAACAAACACACTAACTTTGTATCAAATTTTTCTCGACGTTCCCACCCCCCCCCCCCCGGGGACCACAAACACGACCCACGGGCAGATCCGACGCTGGAGGATTGCACAACCGGCTTCAAGTCCGTGAACTGATTCCATTGTTACCCTCGGGCCAATGACCGCATTGTGCCAGTGGCCGCTTGATCAACACTCAAACATCACGTGATGCAAGCCTACTCTAAAAACAATATCACAAAAGTTAGGCTATTATTATGCAAGTGACAAGGGCGCTTAAGTATCTTAGTTCTGTTGAATGAATAAAAAATGTATCACAAAAGTTTGGCTATTGCAATGGAAGTTGCAAGACGCTTAAGTACTTTTCATATTGAGTTATGTCCCATATTTGGAATATAAAAAAATGCAAATTTCAATACACAAAAAACGTTTCCTAGATTGTTTCGTTATTTGTGCCTTAAAGGCAATTTATTACACCCCTCCCCTCGTTCCCCACCCCCTCCCCTACTTAAAAGAAATCAATGTTTACTCACCGCTTGATTTCTAAGTGGTGTTTAAAAAAATTGAATTAAACACTTGAGTGTGTTTGCATGGAATGTGTCTAGTTTTTGTGTTGAGAGACTTGCTATTGTTTTCAAAATTCAAGGGTTTCGACGATAATCCATGTCTAGGCTTGGCGTATGATGGCAGGACTTAAGTACAACTTCCTTATTATGGGGTCCTTATTATGGGGGTCTTTATTACTGGATCCTCATTTAAGATTCCCTTCAGGGGTTCTTATCCAGGGGTCCTTGATTTGGGATTCAAGGGGCTTTACTTCTTATCAATGGGTCTTTAAATAGGGTCCTTTTTAATGGATCCTTATTCCTGGATTCTTATTCATGATTGCTTATCTAGGATCTTTTTCGGGGACCTTAATCCAGGGATCATTGTTCAAGGGTCCTATCTAGAGGTTTTTTTCACGAGTCTAGTATAATATCGAAAATTAAATATATTAATGTTTAGCCAATATTAAACAAATAAGTAAACTAATAACATATATATAAATTAAACTAAATAAATAAATATATATATATATATATATATATATATATATATATATATATATATATATATATATATATATATATATATATATATATATACATGTATATATATATATATATATACATGTATATACATCTCTCTCTGTCTATATATATTATATATATACATATATATGTATATACATATATAAATATGTATATATATACATATATATGTATATATATATATATATTTATATATATACATATATATGTATATATATTTATTTATATATATATATATATATGTATTTATATGTATATATCCCGAAGACCTGGCCCACACACACATTTCAATGTCCCAGTCCTCACGGCAACTTTAGGCTACACTTTAACCACCAAGGACACCTGCAACGAATGCAGCATTTCTTATCAAAGCACTTGAGCGTATCTATCCCTATAATTACTCTAATCTGCTTGTTCAACATAACCTCGAGTGTCGCCAAACACAGGCTGTGGATTTTAGCATTATCTGATCCTTAAATTAGGCTTTTATTACGAAGTCGAGGGGTTATTTGAGATTACGTACGTCTAAAGTGAAGCCTTACTTAATGTCGTGTTTAAAGATATTTTTGTTAGCCACAGGGCTGAACTTTTGAAAAGGTTTAGTTTAAAAATATAATTTGAAACAACAAAATCCAATTTGTTAATGTTTATTCAAAATCTGGACACATCATTTTCTTTAATATGCTATATCTGGACACATAATTTCTTAAATATGCTATATCTGGGCACATCATTTTCCTTAATATGCTAAATCTGGACACATCATTTTCTTTAATATGCTAAATCTGGACACATCATTTTCTCAAATATTCAAAATTTGTACATATCCATTTTCTCAAATATTGAATATCACTTGCTCTCATAAACAGCTTATTGATGTTTTTCCCCTACTTCTTTTAAAGTGACATTGCATGAATTTAAGGGCATCTTTCACTATTAAACACATGCCAATACTAGCTTTAACATCATAATTTACTATAATTATTCCAACCCCAATTGTATAAATTTTAATAGCAAATTTAAAAACGTGTATTAGGTATGTTTCTATCCATAAACCGTGATTCTATGTTTCAAATCATCATATGTATGATCATATTACTTGATTACCACATCATATGAATCGTTTGTATTTGTGCTCGCGTTTATATAAACTCTATATAATAACATTAGTGCTTCTGTACAATGTTACATGCATCGTTAACAATGATATCGAATGTTATGTATCCTTTATGTTTGTGTGTAATTCTGAGTATAACAACACTAGTGATTCTATCAAATGTCATATACATTGTTTAATGATGATATATAATCCTATGTATCGTTTATGTTTGTATTCATGCCCTTGTATTATTCTGAAAATAACAGCAGTAGTGATTCTATAAAATGTCGTGTATCGTTAATGATACTATCTTATGTATCCTATATGTTTCCATGTTCACGTTCTGTATATAACAACTTTAGTGTTTCTATAAACCGCCATACTGATCACGTGCTTGTCCTGCTCACCCACAGACCCCAGCCAGCAAGCAACTCTCCACCAAGGACATCAGCTCGCCCTTTGACCTCCACCACCAGCCCCAGGTCTACCAGCTCAAGCCCAGTCGACCAAACGACAGTTTCCAGACCGAGTCCTCCAACGTTTCCACCTTCACTTCCGGTCTCAGCTCAGTGGGGGATGCTGGGAAAAATTATTTCACAGGCCAGACTAGACAGGTGAGTTAAGTAACACGCACATTAGACATGATGTTAAGTAACACGCACATTAGACACGATGTTAAGTAACACGCACATTAGACACGATGTTAAGTAACACGCACATTAGACACGATGTTAAGTAACACGCACATTAGACACGATGTTAATTAGCACACTTATAAGACCCGATGTTAATTAAATAAAAGCAGACAATAGCAATCTGGATGGTATTGAACTTCTTATTCTTAGCTGCATTTGATTTTTCCTCCCTGACTCCCACAATGGACTCATCCAAAAAGTTGGGGGTGTTGAGTCGCTAGTTTTATCTTTTTAGAGTGTTAGGTTAGTTAGGACGATGTTTCACATTGTGTTTAGGATTAAGATAACTGTTACAGTTATTAAGAAACGTTAATTTTTCTTTTACTAGCAAGTAACATTTCATTTCTTTTTAGAAGAATCTATTATAATGGTATTGCAAAATGAAAAATAGCCCAAAATTACCTAATCAAGCGTTGTTTGAATACATTCAGTTAGCTCTAAATTAAATCCAGTGTTACAGTTTACTGCCTAAAACTAACATGGAAAAAAAAAATCTATTTTTAGCTCCCAGACGTCAAAGTCCTCAAGCACGACGACTTCCATAGCACGAGTTCTGCAGAAACCAGCACAGGGGATAGCGGCCACGGAAGTGACGAGGACATGTCCAACAGCCTGGAACACGCCATCATCCCCACCGCCCCTCCGGTTCCAGCCAAGATGCCTTCAGCAGATCTCCCATCCTACAACAGACAGAACTCCTCCAGGTTGAGCTGCCCACAACAGCAACGCATGCAGAGACCGTCTCTTCTGTTGAATAGCGCCAAGGCTAAAACGAACACGGTGCGGTTTGACCCTCACGTCAGCTACGATCAAATCCCACCGTTCAGGGCGTCACAGGTCTTCCAGCATTCTATGTCCCATGACAACATCAGCAGCGTTTCTTCATTCACGCAACAGCAACAACAGAGACCCCCACAGAAATTTGATCTTCTGCTGGTACAAGACCAACAGCAACAGGCGCCGCATCACCAGCTACAACTTCCCTCCTACCGTCAACACAGACCGCAGCAACCACAACAAACACCATCACAACAACAACAACAACAAAAAGCACCACCGGTGCCACCACCCCCCTTTCAAAAAGAACATCCCCTCGTCGTATCTCGCCCAACCTCGCCAACTCTCCATCACTTCCATTGGGGACGACGAGAGCGATCTGAACACAACCACTTCCGGTAGCTACAGCGTAGCATCAGACGATTGTGCCAGACTTACTAGTCTAAACGAAACCAAAGATTTATACGTATAAAAAAACTGATTCAACCTAGTGCTTTCTAAATACGTCATAAACTTGTATTTTCTCGCACTTGTCTTTCCTGTTACATCCACCATATTGTTACAAGTTGTTTTTTTTTTAATTCTTCTTCACATTCGTTTCCTGAAAATGTTTTGGATCTTACAGATGAGTTTTTTTTTTAAGTTTCCTTGTTACTGGAAATAAATATCAAGCAATATTCATTTCACCTGTTGCGAAAGACACTAGCAGTTGGCCAGAAAAACATTTTAAAAAATGGTATAACAAGCCAAATTGGCAGTATTTTAAAGACAGTTTGTATTGATATGTACATATTTATATTAGTAATAATTCATTTGATGACAAATTGTAATGTTATGAAGAAGGCTGGAGAACAATCAAAATTTGGACATTGTCTCAATGTTAGACTCGGTGGTTGAATGAAAGTTTGGAACAGATCTGATTCATATCGACAGTGTGTTCAAAACAAGCGTGCTTCTATGCTATTGTGTATTTGTTTCAACAGGTGCTTGATAGGACTGTGTGCTACAGTACGATTGTGTGTTTGTTTAAAAAAAATCTGCTTCAGTAAGATTGTGTTTTCGTATCAAAATGTGCTTCATAAAGTTGTGCGCTGGTATCAAATATGCTTTGATTACATTGTTCGTTTCAAAATGTGCTTCATACGATTGTCTGTTCGTATCAAATGTGTTCCAATATGATTGTGTGTTCATATACCATGTGCTTATTTATGATTGTGTGTGCTTGTTGTATCGTGTGTACCTTTATTGTAACTTCTCAACGAACTTGTTATTATATTGTTTTAAATTATAACATTCCATAATTGAACAGCGTAAGCAAACCGAGAATAGAGGGACGCATTAAGCTTGAGTAGCTGTATATATGTAAACTATGTAACGCTTGCTGCTTATGAATTTAGAGGCCATACACTGTAGCCAGTATATTATTAAATGATGAATATTTTAACACAATGTAGACTGTGTTCACTAGTGATTAAAGACAGATGTTGCTTAAAATCTAAATGGCATATTCAGAACTATCACTTGAGGCCTGGGTGGGGGATGGGGTAGGGGGTATTTTCAACCTTATATAAAGTATTCTCATCTACTATTACAGTGTACACAACATTCTGTTTAAATATTTATCTTCAGCTTCCCCTACCACCCTCCACCCACCTATCTGCCTACCACCTTCATGTGTAACAGAGGCTTTGAAATCATCCAATCAAAATCAAGGCAAAATTTGAATCCTTTGCGTACTTATACACCATCATATACACATGTACACGTTGCAGCTTGTATAACAAGAGCTAAATGACCTGTTACTTATAACATGCGTTTTAAACCATTGTTAAACATTTAACCTGCCTGTGTATTTCCATCCGTTTGCTTACAAAATATTCTTTCATCACTGTACATATAATTTTTTTTTATACTGAGAATAAACTGTTTTGTATTAAACTTAAAACGATTTGTTTTATTCATTTTTTATGGAGCTGACTTTCTCAGTCTAAACGGATTTCCACTTGAATACACACGCCTATGTCGACATCCTCATAACACACCCACTAAACATCGCGTATATATAGCCTTATTATCTCTACATCGCCCTCTATCCTTCCAGATAGACACAGCCAATTCAACATCGCTATGTTCTTACCACGCTTGACAGAACAACTACAGACCTACAATATACGACATTCAAGTTAAATGATACGTTTTCCCTCCGTATTTTTTGTCAGCTGGAGTTACATAGACGTATGTTTTCTTGCCCTTGGTATTTGCATAATGTCACCTGAAACCAGTTTAGCCTGGTGTGTACATCATACATCCAAGTTATAAAATAAGACACGGGGCCTTTTGGATGGCAACTGTATCAAGTTATGTACGCTAGAAACTGGTGCAATGGTGCCTAAAGAAGAAGGCGTCAAATTAAAACGTTGAGTCTAGTTCTCAATTTATTAGGACACTAACAGTAGTGGTGTAGTTAGCTATGGAGGGCAGTAACTGTAAAGGTAGTGGTGTAGTTAACTATTGAGGACAGTAGAGGTACTGGTGTATTTAACTTTTGAGGACAGTGACAGTAGAGGTAGTGGTGTAGTTAACTATTGAGGGCAGTAACTGTTCAGGTAGTGGTGTAGTTAACTATTGAGTACAGTGGCAGTAGAGGTAGTGGTGTAGTTAACTATTGAGGACAGTGACTGTACAGGTAGTGGTGTAGTTAACTATTGAGGACAGTGACTGTACAGGTAGTGGTGTAGTTAACTATTGAGTACAGTGGCAGTAGAGGTAGTGGTGTAGTTAACTATTGAGGACAGTGACAGTAGAGGTGTCACAGTCACAGCGAGTGTATGCATATTTAAGTATGTGTGTGTACATTGCAATAACAGTGCACCAAAGCAGTGGCGTAGCGAGGTCGGGTGTCACCCGGTGCGGCACTTAATGGTGTCACCCCCCCCCCCCCCAGAGGCATAGAGACCCTTCCCAGGGACAAACTTTCAAATTTTCGATTTGCACCCCCCCCCTCAAACTTTCGATTTGCACCCCCCCCTCGAGTTTTTCTCTCTATATTTTGCTATTTTTTGCCTTGGTGTCACCCCCCTAAATGGTGTCACCCGGTGCGGTCCGCACCCCCCGCCCCCCCCCCCCCCCTCGCTACGCCCCTGCACCAAAGTATCTTTAACACTGGAAGACAGGTGAATTACATATCCGCAGTACATTTCGCAAAGTTACAGTTTCACATGGGTGGGGTGTGGTGGGGTGCTTGCGCCTATCAGCTGTGCTGTTCTAGTGTCACAAATACATCACACATCGGCACACGTAGACACACGTCTAAATATATCACAACCATAGACACACGTATAAATACATCATACACATAGACACACGTCTAAATACATCACACACTTAGACACACGTCTAAATACATCACACACCTAGACACACGTCTAAATACATCACACACTTAAGATTTAGGAACTGGTATTTGCCAGGAAACCAGACTAGACCACTCTTGTCCAAGTCAAGCTCTTGAAGATAACGGCTAATCTTAGGCCTAATTCGGCCGTTAGACCGTGGATAGTTAGGGACGATTTGAGGTCCAGAACTACAGAACTAACGGTAATGTTAATTTCACGGGTAATTGATTAGTCGTACAATAATAAAGAAATATCAAAATAATGAATTTAATAAACTGGTAGTGATCTCCCCTAAACTTTCTCGAATATTCTTATATAAAACAACAGGGGATGGTAACTGGGGATATAGTTATGATTTTTAATCCATTTTAAATACTGAAACTTTTAAAAATAGAATAGAATCTCAGTAAAAAACAATTGCGCACCAAGCGAACGCCTAATAAAGGTGTGTATAATGGTGCGCAATAGTATTAGTACTTTAAAAATTTACATTAGTTTTTTGAGAAATCGGAAGTAGCGTAAATTACTACTTCCAGTCAACGGAAATTACTCAAAATTTAACAGAAGGTAGAGAATTAGATCTTTTACTTACATGTGAAATTTCATTTATCTATCTGAAATAGTACTCAAGTTATAGGCTTTTGAAAAATTCAAAGTAGAAAAAGTACCACTTCCGGTTGTCGGAAATCGCTCAAAAGTTGATACGGATCTACGATTTTAATATAATACTTATATATGAAATTTCATCAACCTAGCTGTAACGGTACTCAAGTTATCGTGTTTACACACGGACAGACACACACACAGACAGACACACACACACACACAGACATACGGACAAGATTGCAAAATTATGTTTTTCCGTATCAGTGAGGTGTAAAACGTCGAGATTTGTAAAAATCTCGATTTTTTTTTTTTGCACGATTACAATACTTTCTCTATACTACGTATATACGAGAAAGTAAAAATGTTGCTACTTCAGATATGGCGGTCAATTGATCAGACGAAACAGATGTATCTGTTTCTGTGGTATCGACATGTGAAGGGTCAGCTCTAGTGTTACTTTCAGACATCTGTACGGAGGTTAGGGGTTGGGGGTGCACTGCATTCCCTACTCAGAAAATTTCAATTTACCTCCATCTGCTCCCTGACGAAATAGGAACTTTGGAATCAGAGCTCTAGTCTTTAAAGCTAGCAATTGAAGGCTCTAACGTCCAACCACGCGACCCCTTACAACAATGTTACTGTAACAGTTAATCCGTATCGCTAGTGGCAAGCTTAACACACACACCAACACACACACACACACACACACACATGTATATATATATATATATATATATATATATATGTGACCTAGGCTAGTTGCATCTTTCCTGTTCGCAACGCCAAATGTGACCTTCCCCGAGTCTATCCTGCCCGACAACGCCAATTGTAACGAGTTGAACCACTCATGCTACACAACATCGACTACAGTAGAAAGACTCGAAGATGCAGGTTCGCTATTGATCCTTTTATTACATGAATCAAGAAATGCTTCAATATAACACAATGAATCAACAGAAATGTTTCACAATAATAGTCTGAATCAACTGACCCCCTAACAGTCCTCACTAGGCTTCATATAACTGAATCCACATGTCTATTGTCCTTCCTAACACAATATAACCAACTTGAGTATGTCACACAGACTGACTGATCTAAAGCGAGCGATGGAGATCGAAGAGCGGTAAGAGCGGTAAGAGCTGTAAGAGAGCGAGTTCAGTCGTCCCCTCCTATTTATGCCTTGTATCCGTACTCGTCTCCGTACTTGTATTCCTCCGTAATCGATACTTGTACTCGATGTCTCCGACCACTAGTTGCGTAGTTCTAACATACAGTCCGTGAAATAACATCTGCATCCTATCAATCAAAGTTGACAGGCCGTCTCACTCCTCGTACCGTTTCCCAAAATAGCACGCGTTGGCTTTGAGATTGTTATCAGACCGACCCAATAAGCCACCTGCTATCGGTTGCGTCAGACTGCAATACTGCGTCTCGGCTTCTCGTTCGTTATCAGATTTGTAACTAGTAGTTAGGCCCACCCTAGCTACATCCACCCCTGCCTTTTTTTGTGTGTTTTCAACCACAAACAACGCCTGGCAGGTGCACTCCTCCAAAGTCAATCGCATAATCGTAAAAAAATTTTATTGTTCCACTCACTGTCCACGACGTCCCATTCGTATACGATTGACAGTTATACCTATTTCACATATCAACTGTGTCTACATCGTCTTCCTGAGACACAAAACAGTTCTAGAATTCACATCCACCCTTTTCGTTTGGTGCCTTCACCAGTTCACTTTTATAGCTTTTTGAACCGTCTGTTCTCATACCAGCGCGACCATGAAAGACTTGATGGTTGCTGACAAAAAATTTCGTCTTCCTTCTGTTCCTCAAACTTCTCCGCGGACCACTTATCTGATGGTCTACTGTCTCTCTGCTTCTGGAAGGAACGGGATCCTCTTTGTTGCCGTTATCCTCCACTTGTGTAACGCGGTTGTTCTGTTGATGGTGATATGGTTCCGGGATGGGTATGTGAATTTCCGTTATAGTTTCCGGTTCCCTAATTGTCTTGGATTTCCCTGTGTGTAACTGCTCTTCTTGCCTATTCCAATATTTCTTTAATTGAGCAATATTCGCCCACCGATCCGGTTTGGCGTGATCGATGGGTCTTATCTTAAAGGGGCCACCTGCTACTTTAGGCATCTCCACGACTTGCCATATCTCCTGTCCCCAGAGATCGTGGATTTTGTTTCTGCCTAACGGGTGGCTACGCAGTAATACCCTGTCATTCAGTTTGAGTGGCGGGTCCTTTGTCTGTACCGGCGGTTCCCTTCGCCGTGCTTCATGTTCTAGTCTTTCCTGTACTACCCTGTACATTTCTCTAATTCTTCTCATATGTACATTCACATATTCCAGTGCGGTGTATGAGCCAGTCATACTCTCCCTTTTTCCTAGGAACAAATCAAGAGGGAGTCGAGCCTCCCGTCCGAACAGCAACATGTATGGCGTAAAGCCGGTTGTGGCATGGGGTGTGCAGTTGTATAGATATACCAACTCTGGGAGAAAATCAGGCCAACGTTTTTTCTGTTCAGGTTCTAGCGTACGCAGCAAATCATGCATGCTGCGGTTGAACCGTTCACACTGTCCGTTTCCTTTCGGATTAAATGTGGTTGTTCTAGATTTGTTGATCCCGTAGTGGCTGCACAGTTGGTTAATTACTTCTGACTCGAAAGCCCTTCCTTGGTCAGAGTGTAATTGTCTTGGTATGCCATATTTGATGAACCAATGTTCTATTAAGACCTTTGCCACTGTTTTGGCGGTCTGATCTCGCGTGGGCACCGCCACCGTCCATTTGGTGAATACATCAGTCATTACCAACACATGTTCCGTCCCATCCGATGATTGCTCCAACGACGTAAAGTCCATAGCCACAATCTCTAGTGGTTTTGTCGCTAGTAGGTGTCCTGATGGCTGTCTCATTTTGACAACTGGC